TCTCTCTCTCTCTCTCTCTCTCTCTCTCTCTCTCTCTCTCTCTCTCTCTCTCTCTCTCTCATTTTCACCCACTTTTTCTTCTTCTCTCCAGGACGTCTAAAAAAAGTTTTTACTACCTACGCATTTATACTATCATTCAAGTTTCATTTGACTGCCTCACAAGTTCCACTGCTCTCCCCATGGCCGACGTTTTTTTTCCATACACGTAATTTTTCTTCATCACTTACAACTCGGTTTTGCATTCTTTTTTTTTTGGATTTTCCTGCAATTTATAAATTATGAAATTCGCCGCGGTTTTACGATATTAATGTTCCTGCTCTGCCTGGTCCACTAACATTCCTAGAAAAAATACTCTTCGCCCCGACGCTTTATTAACTACTTACGAATGGATATTAAAATCCTTTGAGTGCTCTTTTTCTCTCTTTCTCATTTTTTCGCAGAATTTTTTTCTCTTAATTTCTTTCCTTTTAGAATTGTCCGTATTTTCCCGTCGTCAGAACAACTTCGGGTAGTAGGTACGCATGAACAAAGGATCGAGAAGATGCGAGATTCTCGAATTCTTTGTCGGATATCATTCTCGATTCCAGAACTAGTTAAAATATTATAAAAATATATTTTAAATAAACATCGCTACAATGTTTTCCGAAAGTCATATTTTAAATATCAGGAAGTTATTAGAAAATATTTCGAGACTAAGCTTCGTCAACATTCACACTTTAATTTTTAAAAAAAGTGAAAAAAATAAAAAGAAAATAAAAAATAGTTTTATTTAGAATAGAAGAAAAAAGGAAAATAAAATATAATCTTATTTAGAACATATATATGAATTAAGTGCATCTGATAATATATCCAGTTCTGGAATTCAGAATTGCGCTACAATCTTTTACAATCTTATCGAATCATACGAGAGCACTCGTTGAGATTTCACAAGTCAGTATGCATTTATAACATACTTGTTGAGTTTCTCGAGTGTAGTAACTAGATTACAACAATATTAAAATATTATTCACTTAACACCGATGTCCAAGTGCAAGGATTAAGTCTATAGCTCGTACACTGTTCAGTACGATGCGTACAGTTACGATGCGCACGGAGTAGGATTTTATGTGGGTATTATTCCATCGTGATGTGTGTATGTGTGAACAATAGAAAAGGAGAAAAGAGATTAAAATAAGAATCGCGGGCAGCGAGACTTTCAGGACGAAGACGTAACTTTCGTTGCGAGTTCTACTTTACTGAACCCGAAGAAACACTTGGAAAAAGTAGGCGCGTTATAGGTTTTTTTTTTATTATACTTGACAATACAAGCGGAACATACGAGAAGATCGAACCTCGTCATTCCTTCCACCTCTATTTTTATTCGATACTAAAATTCGTCATTGCGACTCGCGGTCGCTTTCGTTTTTTTATTTCTTTTTTTTTCTTTTTTACACGACTCACACGACCGCCGCTTGCTCGTCGAGCGTTATAGCCGTCGACCGAAAACTTTCATTGATATGTCATGGGGAAAACTCGGCGGATATAAGACACACGGCTGAATGATAATTGAAATATGTCGAAAAAATAAAAATGGCACATCCTGCATCTTCGTATACGAAGAGCATAATAAGAGACAAAATGTCTACGTGAAAGCGTTATTTCGACAGCGGCACAGCCTCCGTTTTGGAATGATAATATTCGATCAAAAACTTCGAGGAAACAATAAAAATTCAAAAGTACGAGAAGAAATATAGACTTAGGCCTCTTTAATAAGAACTTTGATTTGGAAGCTCCTTACCTACGAAACTTTTGCCGCTTCTTCGGCTAAACATCTCATCGTCCGAAACGAAGAGAATTGTACCACTTTAAAAATAATATCTCCGTGCAAATGTCCACGATACACTCGGCTGCGCTTTCTCGCGTAACGCGAAATGCAAAGTCGAAAATGGAAAATAACATTTGTCACGCGAGCTTTCACGGAGTAAATCCACGTCGCGATCCGCCCTGTCGCGTCGCAAATTACTCTCCCTTACCGCCGATCGAACTTGGAATTTTCTTTAACACCCTGTTTGTAATCGCTGCGGAAATCTACATCGTCGCGACCATAGTGTTACAATCGATCGAAATACAGCGACGGTCGGTGACTAATAAAAAACGACAATGTTTTACAATCTGTTAATGCTTTTAATTATTAATTAATTATTAATTAATCTTTTGTTGTTTTTTTTTTGATAGTTGCTTTGCTTATCAGTTCTTTCTTTTCTTTTTTTGTAAATGCGTCGAGGTAACGATTGCACTTGTAATTCGGCTGCATCCAAATGAGAGACCCAATGCAGTTCTGAAAGAATGATAATTCTCGATCTGCTCATAATCTTCCTCTTATCATTCGATGATGTATGTTTGTGCTTTTACATAGAGATACTTTATAACGTCGATTACTCTCTAATGTAAATATTTGTTTAATATCAGCTTATATGATTT